GACATCTCTCACTCTGCCATGTTTCCAAAGATCTAGCTTCCTTTTATAAACTTCTTAACACAATAACCATAGCTTATTCATCAGCAACTAGAACAATTCTTCATATATAGCAAAGGCTTAACTTGCTTATAAATAAGGTTTAAATGAACAGAGAAACTGTTATTATAGGATCACCACCTTTCATTTAACTGGAAATCAAGAGATCATATAGCCCAACTATCTTCCATAAATGGTGAAGAAAAGTGATACTCAAATAAATTGACTTGATCCTTTGAATACTTCCTTACTACAAGAGTCAGGTCGAGACTAGGAATCTGGGTCTCCTACCTTTCAGTCATTCTCTTGTCAACATACTGTACTGCATCTCACTTGTTATCTGCGAGTGGCTAGATGGGAAAATTTATATGAATGAAATAAATGCTGCTCAAGTGCTTTTGGAAGGAAATTGGACAGCTGTCATCATGGTGTGATATTGTGACAGGTATCTGAAATTACTGTCTACATATACTATTGGAAATGCAGACTTCTTTACCATCTCTCTGAACACGTTGACCCGGTTTACTCTATAGATAAGAAATTCGTAGAGCGAACCGGCCCAACCAAAATACATTAGGCCAACACTCAGGGCACTGGACTGCCAGTCATGATTTCTGAGATTCACAGCTTGAATAGTTCTTCTCTGGTCTATCTCCTCCTCAGGGGGTGATAATAGGGATTCACCAAGAGGTCCGCAGTCATAACTACCACCCATATGCAATTAGAGTTGAAGCATAAAGAAAAGAAAAACCTCAAAAATACAGTGAGGGCTTATTTATTGATGAAGGAAGTGGGCTAGATGGGCTAGATGGGAAAAGATCTTGCTTGATAAGCTTGGTTTCAAAAACATGTCTGTCATTTTATATTGGTGTGGAAACAATAGATTATCCAACAAATGGTTTAGGACAAGTGGGAATAGTCATCCGGAAAAAAAAGAAAAAGTTGAATGTTTACCTAACAACTTACACACATCAATGTGTATTCCAGATGTGCGTGTGCTTATGTATTTTTCTTTCCTCACTCTAGTCATGAATTTCTACTCATTATTTTTCTTTGTATTTTTTCAACCTTATTTATTTATATTTTTTTATTTTTGTGTGTTTTTCTTCTAGATTAACCCACATCTGTTTAGCAAGTAAGGACCATACGTGTTAAACATATGGCCAATTGTGTCCAAAAATGAAGCACATCTTAAGAGGAGATAATTGGTAACATAGTAGAAATCTAAAATGGACTATTTACAGAAGGCTTTTTAAAGCATGCTTCAGACCTTAAACTCCGCTAAGGAAAATATTAATAAATTTAAACGGCTAAAAATTAAAGACTTCTATACAGTAAAGAAAATGTATAATCAAATACACTTTCAAAAAATAGCAATTTAGAAAAGAGAACTTGGAACAAATACGTCAAAT